GGGAAAAGAGACCCGGGCCGAAGGAGGGGCGCGGCAAATAGGAGGGGGGGGGGTGCAAGGCTAGAATGGGAACGGAGGCTGTTGGTGCACGGTGAGTGTCTGCCGGCGGGGACGGGGCCTTTGGACGATCGGATCTACCAACGAATGCTCGCCCGTGATTTGCACCTGATCCTCGAGTGCCATTTGGTTCTTCCCCAGGAGATACACTCCAGCACCATATCCCGGGCGTACGCACGAGGACCATCGTGCTCGGGTCTGGTGCTGGTGTGGTGCGTGGAGTGGGGGGGGGGGCGGGGGGCATACCCATTGTATCCGGCCGCAGGTCACTTCCCGGGGGAGAGGGGGTCCGTTCGCATGTACCCGGGGGATCAAAGGCAGGGGTCCTTGCACCCGCGAGGTGGTGCACACGAGGTCGGCCATCTTCCACCTGGCCGCGCGGGAACGGCCCCCCCCCTTTCCCCTCGGTGTTTCGCCCTGACTTCGGGTGGAGTGTTTTTGGCGTGTGCGGTCGCCCTTTTGTCCCGCCTCCGCTTGTCGCCTTGCGCCAGGCCGTGTCCCGCGGCCGCGAGCACATGGCCCTCGCCCCCGGGGGCGGTCCCAGCACTCAGGGCACACGCGCTTACACGCGGCAGGCCCGGCGGCAGATCGAGTTGCCCGCTCTCTTTCTCTCGTGGGGGGTGGGCATAGGGGGGCATGTGCGTGTGTGTGTGTGTGAGGGGGGGGGGGGCGGGGGGCGAGTGGAGCAGGTTCTGGCGAGTCGGAGGCACCGCTGACAGCAACAGCGCATGGCTGCTTCCACGCCCGTGTCCAGGCGTCTCCCCTGTCCGTTTCCCTGCGCGTTGTCACGCCTGAATGGCCCAAGAGAGGGCACCTGCCGAGATCCGGGACCACACCGTCTCCATCTGCGTGTCGCTCCTCCCCCTCCTCCCCCCCCTCTCCCCCCGCCCACACCTATACACACATACATCGCTACACCTGCCCACACACACACACACACACACACACGCACACACGCACACACGAACCTGCCTGCCCGCTCGCTCTCGATCGGACCTGCCCCCGCCCTCTCCCCCTCCTCGACACCCTTCAACCATGTCCGAGAAGACTTCCCTCCACTCCTTCCACTCTTCCGGGACGCTGCTGGCCCTGGTGTCCCCGGACAACCGCATCTACGTGCGTCGGC